GATTTTGTTTTCATTTTTTTATAGCCATTTAAGTTTTTGACTCGAGAGATGGAAGGTAATCTTCCTACAGGCTGCATGGTGCTAGTAAAGTATGAACAGCTCAAAGAAAACATGGAGGCTAGATTTAAGGTAATGCACGAGAATGACCCACTATCACCAATGGTCGATATTATGCTTGAGAAGATCAAACTTTATTTAGAAGAGGCCCTTGCCTGCGACACTCTAGTCCTTGCTGCCGTTTTTCACCCCGGTTTACGTGTCCGCTTTTTCGCTCATGCATTTGGAGAGCAATCTACTGAACACAATCGAGCCAAATCCTTATTGGAAGATGAATTCAACACTGAGCGTCAAGCAGCTGAATCTCGAACCCAAATTCTAGCTGAACCTGTCAACACATCTCCAGCTCCACTCGAATCATCTCCCAAATTGTTTTCTCCAAAATTTCTTGACTTCTACAATGAGGTGGCATCCGAAAGCAACCTTAACGAGTTGGATCAATACCTTCAAGGCATCGACCCGATGAAATCTCCCAATGTCAATAATCCCCAATATGCTTTGGATTGGTGGAAGGTACGTCTTTTTTTCAATTTTAAATGAATCATTTTTAACCTTACTGACCTTGATATCTTTACAACTATAGCTACATGAAGTTAAATACCCAGTCCTGTCAGTGTTAGCTCGCAACTACCTTGCGACTCCAGCAGCGTCAAGTGCTCCCGAACGCTCTTTCTCTATCGCAGGACGAGTTTGTACCGATGAACGAGGAGGGTTGAAGCCAAGAATGACTGAAATGTTAGTTAGTAGTACGTTATGGATGGGGGAAGGTGTCCCTCTCAGCGGTGATTTTGCTGAAGTTGGCAAGGTATTGGACTTCGCAAAGAAAGCGATCTCAAAAAAAAACCGTAAAACCTATGTTTAAGTTTTCTTATCAGTTTATGTTCCTTTCAGTCTTTTTTCTTTCTTGACTCTCCTTTAAACGATTGCTTTAAGTTTTCTCTACGCTCCTTTACACAGTTTTTCCATCTTTTCTTCATTTTTTATAGTCTACAAAAATAATAAAAAACTTTTTTTGTTTTGGCTTGTAACGCTGAGTAGCGTGGCGCAATTTAACCACGCTTTTCGCTATGTTTTTGCCGGGATTTTTGTTGCCCGCCACCGCTAAAGCTATCGAGCTTGAGCGGGTGTTTGCCAAACTACGCTAGCACTTTCCTGGCTAGTAGCGCTACGTAGCGCTGCGAGCCAGGCTTGGTTTAGTCTCCATTGTCTCTCCTAGTATGTACACAAAACACACCACCCCAAACTACCCCAACTGTACCATCCCAATCTTCGCTTTGTACCGCCACCTTCAAAAATTTTCCCAACCCCTTTTTCTCTTCACTCGGAAGCCATCACACCAGATATCAAGAAGAACTCTTTAGGACTTCTTTTTCTTTCTTCATCGCAAGGTGCTTTACCCAAATATTCCACTAGCTTTCACACCAGAACTCGATATTTGATGGCTATAACTCGTGGCAGCCGTTCGCGGAAGAAGAAAACACACGTCTCTGAGCTTGCCCCAGGTTTGACCTCATTCCCAAAAAGCCGCTAAGTAAAATTGAAAGTGACAGAACCTTATTTTCCAGTGACACAGAATAGTGACAATGAATCAGAATCCTCTTCTTCGTCATATCAAGGTTGGTCATTTCCCATTACTCAATTGCACATACACACTTACCCCAATCAAAACCCACTGACATGAGTCCCGTCTTGCACCTCACTAGCTGAAGACTCAGATTCTTCCCAATCCGATTTACCTGATCCCCAGGCATTAAATGGCAAGTCTGTACTTTGATATGTCTCTGAAGGAAGTTTACTGAACTTGTCTGCATTGTTCCCTGTAGACAAAACGTCAGCCTCTGGTGCGGCTTCGCCCAAGAAACGAACTCGGCGTCGCAAAAAGGCCAGCAAAGCAACCCAGGCGCATCCTCAAGAAGACAAAGACTTGGTCATCGCCAATCCTCCTGATAATCCTGTTGATAACAATGGATTCCCTATCCCAAAAGAACCCATTAGTAAAGGCCGTTGCTATTTGCCGCCCACATGAAATCCATGTAGGCGCTGTCCAAAATACGCCTACATGGATGTTTTCCGCCAAAAAGCGCCTACATACAGCCTGTAGGCGCTTTTTTCTTTTTTAAATGATGCCTACAGGCTGAAAAACCAATGTAGGCGTCATTTGTGTACGCCTACATTCTATTTTTAGAATTTAGGCGCTCGAAAAAAGCGCCTACATTTCATTTGGGCTATGTAGGCGCTTTTTTTAAGCGCCTACATGGAAAAAACAATGTAGGCGCTTTCAAAAAGCGCCTACATCCCCAAAAAAAGGATGTAGGCGCTTTTTTTGAGCGCCTACATTCCCTCCTCTGTAAGTAGGCACTGGCAAATGAGCGCCTACATAGTTTTTTTAGCCCAAATCAGCGCCTACATCCAGTCGTGCAAATGTAGGCGTTACAAATCCAGCTTCATAACCCCTCAGCCGGGTAATGAAGCCCCATTTTGATGTCAAAAACGCAGTTTGGCCTCGAAATGAGTGCACCGGAGGACGGAAAACGCATTTCGGACTCGAAATGAGAGAACCGGAGGACGCAAAAGACCAAAAACGCAGTTTGGCCTCGAAATGAGTGCACCGGAGGACGGAAAACACATTTCGGACTCGAAATGAGAGAACCGGAGGACAGAAAAGACCAAAAACGCAGTTGTGTTATTGTATTTGAAGTTTAATACAATCTTCTCATCTCAACATGAAGGGGATCAGATTATTATAATTCAGAAATAGAAGGTTTGTAAATAACTTCCTCCCTCTATATCAGTGGATGTGTACGTGAAGTTTGACCAAACTTCCACGTACACACACGTGTAGGCGCGTTCCCGCGCATCTGAATAGCTGTAGGCGCGCAGAAATGACGCCTACATGGCTGTATTAGGAAAGTGGGCGCTTTTTTCCCATGCCTACATCCCGGAAAATCCATGTAGGCGTGATATTCACCCGCCTACATGTCAAATCTTAAATGTAGGCGCTCAGAAATTGCGCCTACATGCAAAAAAAGGGATGTAGGCGTAAAATACAAGCGCCTACATTTCATTTTTGGAATGTAGGCGTATACAAATGACGCCTACATTGGTTTTCCAGCCTGTAGGCGCTTTTTCGTGGGAAAAAGGCATGTAGGCGCTGCCAAAACAGCGCCTACATGGATTTTGTGTGGGCTGCAAATAGCAACGGCCTTTATAAATCACATCATTGTGATTACTAGATCAGGTGATTGGTTTAGATTGAAAGAAAGTGGAACCGAAGAATTAGAGTGTAAGAATTTCCAACCTTAAGTGATGATCACAATTTAATTTGGAGTAGTGATGAAGATGGAAAGAATAAAATTCAAAAAGAAAAGAAAAAAATGCTTGTAGCATAATGAATCAAGTCGCTTTAATTTCTATTTTTTGATTGATTAAGTGGACAATAATGATTAGAATCTGTTCAGTTACATCCATTTAAAGATTCTTTCAGTGACTAACCTGAAGAATCACTACTTCCAATACAATCACCACAGAGAGTCATGAGGAGTCATACGACAAATTCTTTTCAAGAAACCTCACGGTTTGATTCAATTATTTAGCTTGAAAGTCACTTCATATCGATTACAGGGATCGTACTTATAATCTCATTGTGTATTTAAATTGATCTTATGGAATACCTCGATGCCTGGTATTTTGGGAATCAAACTTGGTCAAATGATCAAAGATCTGGATTTGAATCAAAAGGCATTGGTTTTGAACCATAATTGAACGATCAACATCTGTGCTGTTACTACTAATTTGCAAGATTAGCAGGTCCATGCTAATTACAGTGATGAGGTGTAAAGGGACCTCAAGCGATGAGATGAGTGCAGAATGGGAAGCAAGAGAGTTGTGACTGTGAGATTTGAGAATCATGAACTTGTTCACACTACAGGTTCAGACTAGAGAGAGTTGCTGTGCAGCATCTGGTGATCCACAGTTGGCATGCAGCAGCTGGTGACGCTTCAGAGACAGCTCATGCGGCAGCTGTCGACGCTCCATGTGAAGCTCCGGCCCCGGTGCGAAGCGCGCGCATGACGCTACATATGGAGCGTCGCCGCCTTGCCCGGGGTGTAGGCTACAGACGCTTGTGTTGCCAATTTTGTCACTGTGGTGGGTACATGTCTCTACAATACAGCTCCTCCAGACTGCAAGTGATTAATCATGCAAGCACACTTCCAACAGCCAACACTCCCCCTTGCTGCATGAGTAAGAGAGTATGCAGTCTTACAGGAGTTGATGGTCTTATGCCACAGCTTCACATACTACATCCATCTCTACGAGAAAGCGAGTGCGCTCAGGTAAGCTTCTGGGCTCATAACCTGATGAAATCAGAATGGCCAGGTGACTGGTAAGGAATCACTTATTAGTGATGAGGTAAAGCGCTGCGGCTGAGATCACTAAAGAGTGAGAAATGGAAAGATAGGCACCTGTCGTAAGGTGGCACAAGTAAAGAGAGAAATGTTTGAGTGAGGAAAATAACAACAACACGCAAACAACCGCTCTTTATAGTGTGATATCTTTCTAGACATAGGTTTAACAAATGATAGTAGTTGTGAGTCTCATTTACCGGATTGGGATTAGTGACTATTGAGCTTGAACAGAGAGAAACAAAGAGAACACCACAGAACAAGTTAGGTGGACTCAATACGGTTAGTTAGGATGGTAACTATTGGAGAGAAAAATAAAGAAACAGATAAGAGAGAAAAATCCTCGACTTCAACATGATCTTGGTCAGATGATGATAAAATAAGACCCATGATCCATGTAATCCCTAGAGGTGCTGTAGTTGATAATGATTTAAATGAAAGTGAAGCATTGTCCATAGTTCTGCTTGACGTTACTAGTGTAAGTGTTACACAGGATTGAAGATCACAAGAAATAATTCAGGTAGCAGTATATGCATATCATCATTGCTGTTCAGCTTGACAACTGTAACTTTCATACGAGTTAGGATCCCCAGAAACATATTTCCCCATCTTTGAAGACGTATAAAAGAAGTGTCAGTCTTGAGCTTGGAGGAAAGATAGAGGTCGAGAGCAAAACATACCATCGGCCAAGGACACAGTTTTCTCTGAAATTTTATACCGTTTTTGCTCAAGCCATCGACATATTTTGTTGTTATAAGCTCTTCGGGAGCAGTCCCCTTCTCAGTCCATTCAATCAAGGCCAGTATCATATCGTGCTTGGCGTCAAAAGAAGCTGATTGTAAGTTGTCTCCTGAGTCTGCGTCTCTCTGTGACGCTGCGCCCATATTTGATGCGCCAGGTCCGCCTCCACAATGTCCCATCCCTATACAGAGTAGCAAACAGTGAATAAGCTTTGTTTTCAGCCCAACCTATTGTTCAGGTTCTAATCTTACCCGGAACTGCAAACAGTCTGTACGAGTCTCTCGGGTCAACCCCCAAGTTCTTTTTCACGTGATCGTGGAACATTATTGACTGTGCGTTGGGTTTTGATTTTCGGGGATGAATCAAGCTGATTAGTCCGATATTGCACTATACCATTACGTGATGATAGAAATCTTACGGCACGACTTGGAATGATAGGGTCTACAAATGTATGGGATTTTTGTGAGCTTCACCCCTATGACGGACTCCAGTTGTCGAACATACCAGACATTCCAACGTAAGTTATTAACTTTCCGCCGCGTCTTATGAATGGTGATATGTCACCATTGAAATTATACTGGCCTGGGTCTGTTTGATCGGCAATCTTGACGAGCCTAGCAACTTCTTGTGGGGTGAACTGGTAATCCGAGCTCACCTTGGTGAAGTTCTATCGGGAAGTTATCAAGGGTTTAAATTATCACGCCATGTGATACACATCTGAATTCGTGGTATACAACTCACCAACACTTGGTATTTTAGATAATTGGGTCCTGGTCCAAACGGCACTCCTGTCATAAGATAATCACCAAAATCCTCCGATCCATGAAATACGCTAGGAAACATCAGATTCCCATTCTCATCCACCCAGTCCTCATAGATAGATTTGGCAACGGCGATACGTTTTTCTGTCAAGCAGGTGGACATAGTCTCGTTTTGATCAATGAGTTGCAATTGGTCTTGCGAGCAAAGCAGAGATTCAAGATTTGGATTGCAGGTTGATGGACTGGTGATCACATCATCCTTGACACCGTCCAAAGTATTGCACGCCTGGATTGTGTAATTAAGAATTAGCTTCCAATCACTGGGTCGAAGGTGGCCTTCCAAAGTCGGCAGGTTACGTAGGTTGACCTGAATCGCCCACCCGCATCTATATAATTTATAGTCAGGTCTAGACAGGATTCAAAAGGTACAATTATATAGATAAACTCCTCATACAAATGAGTCCACCATTGCGCTGCAGCACCCGCCAAGATACCATCAAAGTCTTCGGGGAAAGCTTCAGCTTCCTTCAATCCTTGCCGACCACCCGATGAACAACCTATTATCATGGTTGAACAGCTTTAAGAGAGTCCATAAACATATCGACATTCTTGCGGAATGAGATTTCGACCGACCTATCCAATAACTCTTTTTAGCTGCCTCCTCATGGAAGTTCTGGACAACCACCTTCGCAAAAGTGGTACTAAGGTGAACAGCTCGATATCCAAAATCATATTGTGTTTCGGGATTGTTGATTACAAATGTTCCATCGCTGTCCGTCCCATTATGCCCAGTGTCAGTAGAGACGACCGCAAACTTGTATTTTGCCAAGGGGATTCCCTGTTATCATTGGTATCAGACGCAATGTGAAGGAGAATGAGATTCCCGCGTTCGATTACTAGCACTTTAAAAAAAACTCTGAGAACTGTATGGACTCACCATGCTGTTCAAAAAGTAGGAAGAAATAAGTCAGTACCATGTCAAAGATATCTTGTGATTATTCTATCACCCTCAAGACTTGACACTATTTATACTTACTCTGGATAATTAACACCACCAGCATCTAGCTCAGGGCAAAAACATAGCCAGGCCAAGGGACGAAGATCAGAAAAGAGACAGGATTGATGATTTGTCGGAGAATCATTCACCTCCGCCGTTGCCCACAAAAGCCATTCTACCGCTCCAGCCATCTGTTGGCAACCAGACTTCAAACTGAACTCTGCTCTGGCTTGAAGTGTTGAAAAACGCACCTGACATGGGCCATAGTATTGCGAGTGTGACAAATTGTCAGCTTTGGATTAATCGCTTTTGACATCTCGGAAAGGGGACTGATCAATCTTACCAAATCGACAGAACTCTGGTAGGTTTGGGACGACTGCATTGTACCTCACCGAGGCCATTGGTGTCGAAAAACTCCCCGCCTCTGAATAACAAAAAACCTTGACATCAGGACCACATTTTACACGATAAGTAAGATGTATATTTATGACGAAAATACCATGCATATCAGACACGTAGACATCTAGTTTTGCTTGGCCTGACACCGCGGTAGGGACCAAGCTCTTCAGCTTTTCGCAACTGGAAATCAATTCATCTGGGGATTGATTTCCCGAGGAACCCAATGGAGACGTGCCCTGACATGAAGCGTGTTGCGAATAGGCAATGAGAATGAACGGGATCGTCCAAAAAAATCTTGCCTGAAATGATAACATGCTGTTCCTAGAGTTTTTGTAGAATTCAGAGATAATTGACGTGAATTGATGGTTATCGTCTCTAATCAGATCATTTGGCGGTGAGGGATCAAGCAGTATGTATAAGGGTAGCCTCAGATAACTCGTGGACAACTTCATGTAGGCTTGAGGCGTAGGGTGGACATGTGTGGTTTAATTTGTTCCGCCCGTTCATTTGCAGATGTGGTTTCAGAAAAACTCGGAAACAGACACAATTGGAGTTTGACCAGCTTTGTAACCATACAAGGCCATAGAGCTCATAGAGCTTGATATTTTCCTTGTCAAGTTTAATCGTATCTGCATGTCATTTTTGCTCCGCCGGAGAAATGATCGGACGAACAATCCAATTATCAAATGGTGGTACAGGAGGCTCTTTACTCAGGGAGAAGAAGACGGGTTTAGGTCCCATCCTCTAGGTACAGTAGATTCCATAAAGAATGAAATCAAGAATTATTCGAAATCGAGTCATGGTCCGTGCGCCCGGCAGTAAAATTGAGATCAACTGCGCGTCTGTCAAACTTACATGCCGCATCGAATATAAATACATACATATCACCAAGGTATCATTGGCTCTATACCAAAAAATACGGTAAATCTGGAAAGCAATGTGGCATAACGGTATTCTCATGAACCATTAATTATGCTGGTTGGGCTGAAAGACTGCTTGCAAAGGTTCGAGTCGCTTTCCTTTTGACTTGTATTTCTTTACTCCACAAGTCTTTTTTTTGCTTGTTGCCATAAAACAAAAATTATGACAATAAGACCTGGTCTTCTTTGCATGTGTCAAGTTTATCAATCATTATTGATCTTTACATAAAAAACTTGAGTGACAAACGCAAAAGAAGAGTCAAACACCGGCTTCTTTCGATCCAACACTATCATTCAGACTACATAAGCTTTATACCGTTTGGACACCAAGAAGTTAAAGGTGAAGCAAAATTATAGACTGGCACATCAATGTTTTGCAGTAAAGCATCTGTATATCGTCAGATATAGCGTGTAAGTTTGACAGATTGCACAGTCAATCTCAACCTTACTGCTGGGCGCACGGACCATGACTCGATTTTGAAAAATTCTCGATTTCATCCTTTATGGAATCTACTGTACATAGTGAATGGTGGTCACCAAAAAGTGTTGGTTCTGGTCGAAAAACCTCAACTCTTTATCAGCATTCACAGGGGCAAAAATTGATGCTCACAACTATGTGAGCGTTGAAATTTTCCTGTTTTGTTCTCATTCGTTTCCCATTTGTTTCCAATTTGTTTCCCATTTGTTTCCCATTTGTTTCCCTTTTCTTTCTGTTTGTCAGCTGATTACGTGATCATCAGGAACTGAGCAGACAAACTAAGGGCCCGTTCGGCTGATTTAGCCAAAAATTGTTACACAAAAACGAAATCTCTATCCGCCCCTGAAAAATAGTTTTTGAGGGGCGGATAGAGATTTCGTTTTTCGGCCTTTTTAGATTACCGAACAGTCGACCAAAAAGGTCAACAAAAGATCAAAATGATCATTGTTGACCATTGATCACCTTTCGACTGTTTGTTCAAGATGAAATGACAAGACTTTTTTGATTGAATCATTTTCAAATTGATCCATCCATCCATCACAGTTGCACCTGGACAACCTCCATAGGCCTATGCAGATGATGAGGGAGACTTGAGCTTTCTGTACAAATAATCTGAACTCCGTCGAGATGCTGAAAGATAGAGCAACTTGTATCTAGTGTGTATTCAGCTTTTGGCAAAGGTACATCTGTCACAGTGACCCAGTCTTTCATTTGCTTCTATTGTATTATAAAAGACAACAATAGACTTTTTAAAAAGATGACAAAAGGATTGATAAAAAGACAACGAGAGAGTTGATAAAGAACGATGACGAGAGTTGGTAAACAACGACAACAATAGTCGATGAAAAGACGACAGTAGTTGTTGAAATGATGATAGAGTCAATAAACGAGAACAATAGAAAAGAAAGCTGAGTAACGGAGAGGGGTGTGTGAAGGAAATGAAAGGGTGTTGTCATGTGGAGAGATAGAGATGAGTTGAAGGTGATTGATGGAGGTGAGGGAGGGTGAGGGGCAAAAAGACTTTTTGATCTGAAAAACAGCCTTGAGGCTGTTTTTCAAAAGCGATGAATTTTTGATCAAATACGGTTTTTGTATTTGATCAAACAAAGTTGCCGAACACCGGCGTTTTTGAAAAAAACCAAAAACTGTTTTGACCCAAAAACGGTTTTTGGCTTTGGTGGGGTTTTTGGCCAAAAACTGTTTTTGGGTTCCAGCCGAACGGGCCCTAAGCCTTCCTCAGCATTTATTCCTGAGCAAAGAAGTCTGAGGAAGGGCTGATCCATCTGCTCAGCTGATCCTGAGGGCATTCCCTGGTTCAGTAAGTTCCAAGGGATGCCACCAATGTATAGCTTGGGGGCTGAGCTGAACTGAGTATTTCCTTAGCTAAGTCTCTGAAGTATCCCCCAGATGGATCACAGAGCGCCAAGCTTGCCTCAAGCTTCATGGCTCCGGAATGAAGCCTGAGGCCCGTCTGCTCGTTCAACTGAGCTGCTCAGTTATTCCTCAGGGGCATCCCTGAGATCAGGAGGATCCGGAGGATTTCACTGCTCATTGCATGAGGGGCTGCTCAGTTATTCCTCAGGGGCATCCCTGAGATCAGGAGGATCTGGAGGATTTCACTGCTCATTGGATGAGGGGCTGCTCAGTTATTCCTCAGGGGCATCCCTGAGATCAGGAGGATCCAGAGGATTTCACTGCTCATTGGATGAGGGCCTGCTCAGCTATTCCTCAGGGACATTCCTGGCCGGATCAGAAGGATCCAAAGGATGTCACTGAGTATTGGCTGAGGGGCTGCTCAGTTGATCTCAGCCCCTCAGTGTGAAAAACTTTATCCGGGGATATCACTGAGGATTAGCTGAGCAATGAGCAGATAGGATGACGCTTTTATCAGGCTTCATTCCTTAGCAAGGAAGTCTGAGAAAACTCCGGCCCATCAGTGATCCAGTCAGGGGATGCTACTGAGTATTTGCTGAGCAGCTCAAATGGGACGCCCCTGGGCAGGCTTCTTCACTGAAAAATGGAGCCTCAGGAAGGTATAGTTCATGTGATCATCTTCATTTTGAACAAATTGCTGAGTATTCAGTGCCTCATGAGCTGATCCTGAGTACTCATCGGGAATCAGTTATTGCTCATCCAAGATGGAAATGAGCCTTCTCAATAAATGTCAAGTAAAATATGAGAACCACAGGATGATCACCTGAACACAAACAAGATTGTGAATTGAAGCAATCTGAAAGAAAATGAATCTTTTTTGGAGAATTCCAAAAAGTCTACAACGCTCACATGTATGTGAGTATCTATTTTGGCCCCTGTGATTGTACAGTAGATTTCAAAAGGCTTGAAATCGGAAATTTCGAAAAAACACAAGCTGGCCCGTGCGAGGCGCAGCACCGGCCAAAATTGAAGTGGCCGGGGCTGTCAACTAACCCATCTCGAACAAGGATCTGCGGATTGCGAGTTGTACTAAGTGGCCGATCCTCAACAACCTTCTCAACGTTCGACTCTTACAACCATTACAATTCCAGAGATTCCAGATGGGAATAACGATGATGGCCGGTTGGGGTGGCCTGGATCTTTTTGACTCCGGCCACGATCACACATTATTTCATTCTCCAGAAAATATGATCAGAATTTCTTCTGACTCCATCAAACAATTCTTATCATTCCAGCTTTCACTGTCAGATCAATCCAACTGCCACTTAAATCAATTTCTCAACATGCCTCCTCGTCAATCAAACACTTCCAGGAAGTCAGATTTGTCTGAAATTCCATCCGATAACAACCACCAGTCAGTTTGTTTTAGCCATGTGAAACCTGATTGTGTGACTCACATAGCTCTCTTCACGTTCAGGATTGTTTCTCACACCGTGGACCCCCGCGCCACGGACACTGTCACTGTAGATGCCGCCAAGGAAGAGCGAAATCGCTTACTTGCCCCGCTCAATTTGGGCGATCTCCTTGATATAAACATGGATGGAGGCAATACCACTTCCGGTATTGGATCTCGACAATTGTCTGTCAAGTTTGACTTCCGCCACGAGACTCCGGAGAAACAACACTGGGTAAGCAACACCCCCCGTTGCTGTTGCACAGCGGGGCGTTGTGGTTTTCAGAGGGTGCTGCGCTGCTGTGCAGCGTTGCTCCTGGGGGCAAAAACTCCGCAGAGCTTTCCAACCCTTTGAAATCGGTTTTTTTCCGAACAGCTACGCAGGCGCTCCTTGTAAAACCGCAGACCGCAGGCAGCGGTGGTTTGCGGGGCCATGGAGGCCGATCGGGTATTTTTCACCTAAATGTGTAGTTTCCCCTTTTGGAAATCACACTTCCATCATACTATTGACTTCCAACCCTTGCGAAACCTCTCTCATACGCCACACATGCCAAACTAAACTCGATCTTGACAAATCTGGACACACTAGGCATGTTCTCGATGCATGTGGTTACGCACCACCCTCACCACCAGCACTCGACTGTCTGCAAGCCAAGTTATAGGAGCTTGACTGGTGCAAGCTCAGACCCCTTGGTGACCAGTTTGATTTGTCAAACTGGTGTTGACAATCATCTGGTTGGCTCTCAGCTCCAATCTGCAAGGGGCTTGATGGCCTCCTGGAACTTTTGTAAGTCACTGTTACATCCTACCATTTCCTTCTTTCTCTTTGACATTGATCATTTTCTAATCTGTCTGCTTTTTCATCCATCCAACATATCTTAAACTTTTATCAATTATCATACGCAAGATCACAACTCAATAACACCATTGATTTATCTTTTTTTAACCTCAACCCCTTAACATTTATAATTCCATCGATACATATTTTTAACCTCCCCATTCATTTTTTTCCAATCATCCACCAACCTAATAATCCTACCATCACTACTCAGATATGTCATCCATCGCTTCCGAGCTCTCGCAAGGAGCCCCAATGCCAGGGCATGTGTCGTCCCTCACCCGACTCCCGTCGCCGTGTTTCAATCGACCAAATAATACTAGCTAGTGGTTCTACCAGCCGGCACAAGAAGAAGACTCCCACGTTACAAGTTGATGACTCTGAAGACAAACCAGAGGTCGCAACAAAACAACATCACAAACGCAAGCATGTTGATGACTCTGAAGACGAACCAGAGGTCGCCCCAAAACATCAAAACAAACGCTCGCGTAAGACTGCATCCATCAATGATGAATATGAATCAGAAGCAACATCATCACCAGTTGCAAATCGACAGAAGAAAGGGAAGGCAAAGGCTACAAGCGCAAGGGGTTCCAGATCTGTTGGAAAGGAGGTTTGTCAATCATTTTGACTTATCTAATTAATTAAGCCTGACCTAACATCTTTTCAAAGATCCAGAATGACTCAGCTAATCCGAGCAAAAAGACACTACAGGCCGATTTGGACGAAGAGAATCAAAAGGTTGTTGCCCAGACTCGCAAGAATGATGCTGGTGAAGTTACTCAACTCAAGTGCTACTACGGTCCCCCGTTCCATAGAAAGAATGTTCCCAATGCTAAGGATCATGTAAGTTGCTCATTTGAATTGGTCAAATTTTGTTCTTTCTTGTATTCATCATTATTTCATCTTTCTGTTTGATAAAGGATCCCACCAAGGCACCACTCTCGTACCCTTGCCAATTTTGCCCCCAAAACAAGAGTGACCCAATCAGGGTCAGTCTCAGCAACCTGACCGGCAATCTTTGGGTTCACCAAGACGGTAACACCGCACCTGGCCAATCTGCGACAGGCTGCCCAGGACGGCTCAAAGCTATTGAGCAGGAACCCGAGCTTCAAGTCCCTGAATCCGTTGCCAAAAAACAAAAGGCACTCGCAAAGACTGGCCCTATGAATGCATTTGTAGTCTCGACCCCCAATCTCTCTTTCTCTAATCTCACCCTGAATCAAATGGCTTGTGTTTGGCTGATCCGACAAGCTCAACCTTGGAGTAGGATTGAAGACCCAATACTTTGGGGAATGATCCGATACCTTCGAAAAAAAGCACACTTGTTTGGGCGTCGTTGGGCTGCTGATGAAGCAAAGCAAATCAATCTTTCACTCAAGGAGAAAGTATTTTCAGAGCTCAAGGTACTTCAAGAGTTAACTTACTCTTCCTCGAAGTCATTGATCATTAACACTTTAACTGAGATCGACTTTCTTTCTTCCAGTCTCTCAAATCCAAATTCAACTTAGTACACGATGGCTGGACAACCAAGGGCAATCAACATGCCTTTATCGGTGCGTCAGTTACGTTTGTGGATAACCAATGGAAATACCGTGTTTGACACCTGACCCTCAAGGTCATTACGTGGCACCATCACGGACCATGGCTTGCTGAGCCAATGGTCAATATATTGGCCAAAAATGGATTATACAAAAAGATAAGTTTCATCCCCTCCATATATATATATATATATATATATATGTTTCCATCTAGAACCAGATGTGCTGACATCTTTTCTCAATCAAATACATGCTTTGTCAGACAACCGATTCTGGTTCCAACAACAAAACAATGGCGCGTGAGATGCACCGACAATTCCTTGAACAGGAAGACATCGGATTGTACAACTGGAACCCAGATTCTATGCACATCTTTTGTTTTTGCCACAAACTTGCATTGATCGTCAATGCAGGTTTGGCAGCGCTTGGTGTTAAGGCTCCACCCCCTCTCAAGGTGATAGAAACTGACCGAGGCCACTTCCCAACCATAGGAACTATTGCTGAAGAGGACGAGCCAGATGACGAACCCACGATAGTTCCACCAGGTGCTGCTCGATCCAGTCTCGTCGACGCAGAAGAAGACACTATCGAGCACAACTTACAGGATCTGGAGGAGGCCCCAGTTGAAGCAGCTGCAGAGGAAGTTGTTCATGCGCTTGACGACGAAGGGGAATGGGATGCTGCTGACGCCGAGGACGAAGCGTGTCCTGAATTGATTGTTGAGGAGAACAAGGTCCATCCTACTCATCGTCGGGAAGCAAATAATTTGGATTATATTTTACGCAAGGTCAGTCATTTTTACAAATTCTTTCCTGCATTGATGTTATAAGTTTTGCTAAATTTTTAGGATCCCACTATTTAGAGCCCCCTTGGCTGATATCCGGCGCCCTCCGGATTTCCCCCAAATCCCGCGTGACCCGATGACATCTCATCTATTTTAGCCTATAAATTGCAAGCTCGCACCTTGAGGGCTCCCAAAAAGGGCACCAAATTGTAAATGAGCCCCTTTATGAATGTCAAATAACGTATATGGAGCCCCACCATCCTTGATGGGGCATCAAATAACGTCAAAACAATTTCAAGGGCTCCTTAATTATTTGGTGCCCGGACCGGCCCTTGTTGCACCAAGTTTGGCCCTTCAACACATCCATACACAGGATAAGAAGTGATGACTTGCTTACCTTGTCCGTTTTGTTTCCTTGTAACCTTCAACATTCAACTTGATTCATTCGAACCCACCCAAACCACCGCAAGACACACACCACACATTTCCCTACTATATCAACCATCTACATACATACAGCAAAATCAATTCAGTGGGGGAAAGCAGATCTCCAAGCTTTCAACCTTGAAGTTGGACTGATCCCAAAGTTTATCTTACCATACAGTATGAATCAGCCAAACCAACAAAACCCCGCTCCCCAACATCCGGTAACATCCGAGGCTGTACATGTGCATACCCACAACAATCCTTTGAATCCAGCTCCGAGCGGTATCTTACCACGTGAACCTTGGCATCCCCCTCCTGGTTTACCATACCCTCCCTCTGCCGGCCAATTTATAACCGGACTACCTCCTGATCCATGTAATCTATCGTCGACGTCGGTTTCTCAACCTTCTGGACCATACTCACAAACGCCTTTGTACTTTCACCCTCATCCACCTTCATTGTACTCCCAAGCTCCTCTTACTGGGTCGTACTGTCAAGCTCCTCTTACTGGCTTTTACTCTCAAGCTCCCCCACCTTCATCGTACTCTCAAGCTCCTCCATCTTTGTACTCTCAAGCACCTCTTACTGGCTCGTATCCTTACTCTCAACCTCATCCTACTGTCACCTACTCTCAAGCTCCAAACTTGCACTCTCACGCTCAAGGCTCGTATCATCCAACCATTTGTGGAAGTGGCACAATGTGCCTACCAAACTTCCCCCCCAGCGCGTTTTTGCATTCCAGAAATCCTTTTGGAAACAACCACATTCACAATAACAATCATCACTCAGCCCAAAGTCATATCAAAAATCAGCAATCATTTACTTCTCTAAGTAATAAATCTCAATCTCGTTCGGACCTACCACCTCCTTCTTCTTCGCATTCAGAAGCAATCACTCCAAGTGCTAATCACCATCCGCCTATGAACATGAACTTCTTGGACACTCATCAAGATATATCTCCGAATGTAACTCTAGTCACTGCCGGTGCACCAGCTTCCGGTATTTCAATAACCTCCAATGAAGCCAACAACGTGAATACTCCACCTTTGGTACCAAACGAAGTTGCGGTAGATGAAGTTGTAGATGTAGATGACGTCCTGGCGCTCAATGAAAGAGACAGTGATTGGCCTCCAATTGGTATGTACTTATTGTTTCTTTGTTTTCTACCTTCTTTAATCGTTTTATTTGTTTGTTCATTTATGTTGTCTGATCCGGTTTGTGTATAATCTATCCCAACAGGTGCCTCTCCTGTTCACTTACTAGCAGGACCCAAAACCGGCAAACAATTCATCGAGAGGGAGAACGGTGAAATGTACCTCCACGCGGTAGCTCGGCACCAAGGTTACGCTGTGGCAATCAAGAGTCATAAGAAACTTAAGGAACACACCGTTCGACTGTATCTGCGATGCTCCCTCGGTCATAAAGTCCCTTCCGTAGCTCGCAAGCGAGCGTCTTCGTCAAAGAAGACTGGCTGTCTATTCGAAGTCTCTCTCAATTACCGAAGCAATGTTGACCGATGGGTTGTATGTCAAGACGAGAAGAACCCCGACAAACTTACCCACAACCATGAACCTTTTGATAATCCTCACAACATGTCCATCTACCGAAGATTCAATACCGCGGCTAATCAACAAATTGATATACTATCTTCAGCAGGAGTTCGAGCGGCAAATATCAGGGCTCTCATTGATGTCGAATCAGGTTCTCAGCCGTTGTTGCGGGACATTCACAATGTTCGCACCCGTCTGAGGGATCAATGGCTCAACGGACGCACACCAATTCAAGGCTTGTTTGATCTGATCGTGGCTAGTCATTGGGCCCATCAGACATTAACTTCGTCCAACGGTACTCTTTTAAATCTTTTCTTCGCTAGTCCCTCCGGAATCCGATGTGCTCGAAGATTTTCAACGGTTTTAAGTATGGACTGTACATACAAAACTAATAGATTCAATCTTCCACTCTTACACATCGTGGGCACGACCAACACTCATTGTTCTTTTACCGTTGCCATGTGTTTCCTGACGAATGAGAAAGAAGATCAGTATGAATGGGCTTTGAATCAACTCAAAGAAATCATTTACCAAGATGAGGACGAAAAAGCCACTGTCAAGATGCCCAAAACTTTTGTCACGGATGCTGAAACTGCGCTCATCAACGCTATCACCACGGTCTTCCCTGAATCTGTGCACATACTTTGTGTATGGCACATCAATCACAACATCACTAAAAACTGCAAGAGCAAATTTTCAGAAGCGGAATGGACCAAATTTATGAACTTATGGAATTTATTTGTGTCTTCAACTTCAATTGCTGATTACGACGCTAACCTCAAGGCGGTCACCAAAGTGGAAAGAGCTCACGGTGTGTTTGCCTACTTAGAATCGACTTGGCTTGGTAGGACTGAGAAATTTGTTACCTTATACACCTCAAAAACGCCCCATTTTGGAAATTCATCCACCTCGCGTACCAAAGGCAGTCATTATCGAGCAAAACGCTTCCTCGATGGGCGTCACAATGATTTCATTACATGCTTCAATGCATTCAAACGCTTCGAAGAACATCAAACAAGTGAGATCATGATTTTGGTGGGTATTGAACAAACTAAGACGCTTCAAGGCCTACCTCTGTTCTTCAAAGAACTACACGGTGTTATCTCTCATTTCGCCCTCAAGAAACTCAAGGTTCAGTTTGAATTATTACCCGATTCCCTTCAAAGACCTTGCACTCAAACCTTTCGAGGTGCCTGGGGACTTCCCTGTTCTCACGAAATTGCCTCACAAAGAGACAATGTGGACTATCTCTCTCCTGACCTGATTCATCCTCAATGGCGACTTACTATGGACGTTGCCTCAGATAATCATGAAGGCCTAATTGCTGCAG